GACAATCTTAAGATCGGCCAACGTTCTAAGATTGTCGTAAGGGGAAAATAGGGGCAAAACATCGTGTAGTATGAACTATTGCATTAGGTAGTTGGATGTGCCCATCTTCTCTATTTAAATCTAGTGATTACTGAAGGCCAATACAGTATACAGACTTCATAATCTGAACTATTGTGGTTGAATGCAGTATTTATTTCCACTTTGGCTTTATGTTGTTTAGTTTTTATTTAAGTATGTTTTTTGTTAATGGAGACAGAGAATCAATTTTATTTTTGGTTGTTTTGTTTATTTAGTTTATTAGTTCCAGTGTTATGTGTTCTTTTGAAAATAAAGTGCATCTATCTATGGCAGGAAATCGCATGCATTATTATTATCGTTTATCGCAATAACTTTTTAGACAATTAATCGCTCAGCAAAATTTGTTATCGTGACAGGCCTAATGGTGTGACCTGCTGGGGTGTGATTTGGAAACATGGCCTCCCTGTTCTGATCCCAGTTGGTGTTTTGTTGTTGGACCTCTATGTAAGACAAGGGATGTCTTTAATAAACTCAATTTTCAAGGATAATACGGTTCATAGGTGCACTTGGCACCAGCCTGCCAGGTTTAAGGGGGGTGATGAATTTTCTAAGTGCATCATCAGACCTGTGGCATTGCAACTTGGACACTCTGGGTGAAGAGAGTAGCAGAACTGTTAACCTTTCACCGCGCGGTATTGAATTTGATTTGAGGGGAAACCACTGAACAGAACTGCTACACCCAAACGAATGAAGAGGTTGAGCTGGAAAAATCTGATGGACGAACAAAAGACACTAAAGCCTGAGATGCTGAAGGCTCTGGACTCTGGTTGCTATGTTCAGCATCACGACACTGGGCAGTGTTAGTCCCAATGTTTTTATTTTTTTATTGAATTAGATTCATAGTTATGACTTTTTTAATTCTTGTTTTGTTTTTCTTCCCTTTTGTATCTCATTATATGAATGTTGTTAATTCTGTAATGATAATCTCAATGTTCCAGTCTCCATGGCTTTTTCTCTGTTTACAGAAACTGTTTTCTGTAAGTTCATGTAATTTTCTCTTGCTGGTGTTTGGTTTTAATCTGGTGAATAAATGTGAAAACTTTTCCTCTGATACAGTTTAACAAATACATATTCTGCCTTGTTGAAATCTCACCATTAGTTTAAAGCAGAAGTTTTTATTCACTCTCATGATTTTATGTAATAAAGTTACAGCAGGGATATTAATGGAGACGGGGTCACTGTTTCATGCTTATTTATTTTTTTTATTTACGTTAATAATAAATATTCATGTTTAGTTATAATATTTAACTTTTCAGTTGAAGTATTATAAATTGTGATTCTGGGAATAAATTTAGTTTGTCAATATGTTCCTCTTTTTTCTTTAATGAACTGTGAAATTTGAATTACCTTCCCCAGAGACAGATGTTTGAAACAGTAATTTTATCAGTTAATCACATCTAATTTATTTACTGAGATTGATACAATATTAAGAAATAAATGTAGATAAGTAGTCATTAATTTTTCTCACTGAAGAGGCTTCCTCCGTAGTTTTACTGAAATATTATCCATTCATAATTAAGAAAACAATCTGAAGTCTCTATAGTTGGAGTTACAGTGACACCTGTTGGACAAAATTCGCATTGCCTCTACTCTTACTGAACAAATGATGCAAATAACCACTTTCTGCTTGTCATTGTTTCTAAAACAGTTTTCGTGTATTTTAGTAAAAGATCAGAAAACACACCTGACTTAGACATGTTCATTTCAGAAAAGAAGATCACATTGGTCAATTTAAATATCTTTGGATTTTGTTTGATGCAAATGAATCATTCAATTATCATGTTAAGAAGTTAAAACGCTGAAATTTAACTTTGAAAAATTTGGTATATACAAGATACTGGTTTTATAACTCGGCTGCAAAAATATTCATAGATTAATTTTGAATTACATTTTGCTCATATAACTTAATGCTTAGCAAGTTGGGGTCAGGCTAAGTCACAGAGGTGTGTAGTAACCTTTTGGTAAAGAATAAACATGAAACAGACAGAAGCTGGTTCAGGTCACTTCAATCTCAACTGATATAAATGTGGGAATAAAAGTTTAAATTTAAAATTATTAATTTATTATTCATTAAATTGTTGATAAAGTTAGTTTATTTGAATCAGGGCACCATTCCAATCTCCTTAGAATAATTAGTCAAACATGTCCGTTTCTCACGAAGGAATGAATTCGAGCAGAAAACTCCTCACAACAAGGAATGATCACAAATCTAATCACTGAATATTTATTAACAAAATAGAAAAACATTACAGTTAAAATTAGAACACATAGAGGATATTTACACATTGAGGAAAGCACTATTTATTTATCTTCATTATATAAAATTAAAAATTAGAATGGTGGCGGTATTCACCTGGAAGTTGCTTCCTATCGACTATAATAGAAAAGAAGAAGAACATTTCCGGCGGAAGTAAACAACAACGCGCTAACAGCGTTACCTCTACAGCAGGCTCTCAGTAGTACTGATTGTCTATTCTTTATATAATCTATATATTATAGAATCTATTTGATACTTGCTCCACGGAGCCCTTATTTTAAGCACTTATGATTACGTCACAGTTGCCGCCATTTTGGATGTAGCTCTGAGTAGAGAAGAAGAAGATGCCTCATTCATGTTCTGCCTTGAGTTGTTGTAACCGCTGTACCGCTCAAACCAGAGCCAGCGGCATTACCTTTCACAGGTAAGAATGGAAACATGCTTCTTGTCGTGTTACTTAAACTTTTGCATCAACCTAACTGTTCACTAACGTGTCTTTGTTAAACAAACGAGTCTGACTCTTCTGCTCAAACATGGTCACAACCCTCACTCTCAACTGACGTGACGACAACGCAGCAGCTGACCAATCCGCGGTCGCAATTTGAATCCAGTGAAACGCCCCTTACCTGGAGGAACGGAAGCCATCTTTACCTCCGACATAATTGGCGGGGTTTCTCATTGCGAACGCAGAAATTTGGTGCAAAATAAAAGGGAATCATGGTTAAACGTTGTCAGTGGGGAACGTGCAACTCCGACACCCGGTACCCGGAGCGCTTAGAGGGCGGGATACACTTTATTCCGTTTCCCAAACCCAAACGGAGTCTGGAAAAATGTAAACGATGGATAAAAGCCTGCGGCCGACCTCATAACCGCCTGAATGAAACAATGATCAATGGAAACTACCACATGTTCGTCTGTACGAAGGTAACTGCAGTTAATCTCATAATGGCAATAATGCATGTTTGATAGAGAGTTTGAAGGTATATGTTGTGAATAGTAAGCCTACTCTTTGTTTATGATCAGTTGACCCAGAACTCATTGTTACAAACTTTACATAAGTTGCAAAATTAGCCATTAGTACACTGAATTTGACTGAATTTTTGCCCTGGGTAGCTCTATAGAATCATGGAAGCATGTACTGCAGTAACTGTTGTATTTACATGTCAGCACTTTTTATTCTGCTGTTTGTTTTTTCAGCATTTTCCTGAAGGCAAACCAACAGACAGATTTCCAGATCCGGTTTCTTTTGATCCCAAAGCCTCCAAAACCTCCAAACCAGTCAGGCGTCCCCGGGACCGGCGCCACGGATCCCCAGCATCAAAACAAGGAGACACACTTAGCCACTTAGGGTACATGAACACCTCGTTTTATTTTTTAAACTTTTTTGACAATTTTTTTAACATATTTGTTGAAACTGTGACAGTGTTGTGACGGCTTATGAGACAGATAATCTATGAGAAGATGGATCTCCTCCATCGTCTGAAGAAATGCATCCTGACCAAAACAACCAATCAGAGCTCCAGTTTTTGTTTCATGGATTTTGTCTCATATTGTCACAACATGGCGACAGATTCAACATATGCTAAAAATAGTTTTAATAAAAGTTACTTACTTTATCTCTAAATGTGCAGTAAGTAACCTGAACAAGCCATTAGAATCAGAAAATGTACAAGAAACTTAATAACTTAATAATTTAGTAATTTAAATCTCTGCAGTGAAACCCTCCAGAGTGAGAAGAACCCAGGCCGCCGCTCTGATGCTGCTGTTAAGACTTCTTCACCAAGTTTGTATTTTTGCACTTATAGATTGTGATACAAAGAAGATATTTTTGACAGTATGGCATCCATGCTGTCAAAAATATCTAGTTTATGTCCCAAAGTCACAGAGTGAAGGACTAGCACCACTGATGATTTCTTTTAGGAACACTATTTTCACATCACTTCCAAAAAGAAATCTCACATTCTGAATTGCTTCACTTGGTTTCATATTCCTAGTAGAAAATGGACATTTTATTTCCAAAACATTTCCTTGTTCACATATTTTCCCATCAGCAGAAGCTGCAGTGAAACAAAGCGCCGACTCAGTAACACGTCATCAGCATCGTTTCCATTGATGTTCACACATATTTCGTTTTATTGTTGCTACTGCTGTAAAAATGCTTAGGATTTTTCCTGCTGTCAGTTTTTTTGTTAACAGCAGCCATACGCATCATTACTCCACCAAAATCTGAAGCAGTTTTTTCTCTGTGCCATTTGTGACATAAGTTTTGGTCACTTTTGTCATGGCAACACGTTTGAATGATTCTTTGTAATCCAGTAGCTTTTCTGTCAACTGCAAAGATGTTGTCTGTTTTGCATTTTTCTTATTTGTTGTTTTAAAACTCATTTTGATGCTGTGCATATTTTTTCTTTTCAGGGTTTTCTGCATGGGGAAAGCTGGAACTGATGGCTGAAAACGAGGCTTTGAAACGACGGCTGAAAGCAGATCAAGAGATTTATGCCAAGAAGATTTCTGAACTGGTGCTGAAAAACAAACTTCTTCAGCGGGAAAACATGAAGCTCCGGAAGAATCTTCATGGAAGGACACAAAAACAACATTCAGCAGGAAGCATCGTAGCAGCCGACACATGGGGACCCTCTGCAGAGCAGCTGGAACAAATGTCAGTGGTAGTTTAGTTAGAACTTTCTGATGCATTTAAAAATCAACTCGGATGTATTTTATGTTCCTCCAACTTTACTGCATGTCAATTTAGATGAAATTAAGATTTATTCAATGTCTGGAGGCTAAATAACATACATTTTGGTTTGCTACTCTCCAACAGCTGAACCATTTCCTAAAAGAACACGCTAATATAATAAAACTCTTATAATAAAACTCTAGAGTACTCATTTATGAATGCAATACAAGAAAAATTCTGTTGTAACTGAAACCTGAACAGTTAAATCACAAATATACAAAATGCTTTATTAAAATAACAAGTGTGCCATTTATTTCCTCTTTGTTATTTTTTAAATATTTTTAGTCTCTGCAAAAAGGAGGTTGTAAATCTGATCAGATTTATTTTACCACAGCTTGGATTATTGGGTCTGGATTACGAGATTATTCCAAATTATGAGGATAAAGTCATAATAACGGCAGAATAAAGATAATATTACGAGAGGAACGTTGTAAAATGATCAATCATTTTAATGATGGAGGTTTTAACATCTGATGTGACCAACTGGAGTCCATGAGGTTCTTCCTCCTAAATAGACATAAACACAACTGGTTGGTTCAAAGTCTTTCTGCTGATAATAATTTGATGCTAATGTGTTTAAAGATCAAGTATTTTATTTGTGAAACCATTATTCTGGTATTCTGACAACTTTATTCTGTAATTATTATGACTTGTCGTGTTAATGTGACAAACAAATCCAGTGATTTTTCTCTCTGTACATTTTGAACTTTGCACATTTCCAGATCACAGTATTGGTAGTAAAGTAGATCAATGCATTAACTTTATTTTTTTTTTAGAATAGGTTTATTAGCTAGTCTAAATTTTCTAAGCTCCAGATCCAAAACAACCAAGAAATGTTTCCTGCTGAACTACACCGACGTGAATCAAACTTTTTATTTGCTTTTTGAACTTTGACTCTTGTAGGTTTCCAAAAGAGAGCGTGCGCAGGAAGCAGTGGGAAGTGGCTGCTAGAAGCGAAGACTTCTCTGCCAGCGTGTCGGCGACGCTGTGCAGTGAGCATTTCAGGCCGGCGGACTTCGACAGGACGGGTCAGACCGTCCGGCTCCGAGCCGGGGCCGTTCCTTCAGTCTTCAGTTTGCCAGCTCATCTCCACAAGGTCGCTCTGTCACTGGGAGCCCAGGAGCCGCAGGAGCCGGGCCCCCGGCCTGGACCCCGGGAGCCGGGCCCCCGGCCTGGACCCCGGGAGCCGGGCCCCCGGCCTGGACCCCAACATGCTGTGAGTGTCCTCATACCTCACTTCTAATTCTCCCTCCTCTAGTTTTCATCTCTTTCCAGATTAACTCTATTTGAAATGGAAAATGACATTAAAATTGTTGGACAAATATAACTGTCACTCTGTATAATCAACTTAGTTTAGAAATAATTGTCACATTAATAACTTTATGAAACCATTTATTTATTTCTATTTTCATTATCAGTTTTGGCAGGACTAGTCCTCCATATGTTTCCTCTCTGCACTGTGTGTCTTCAGTAAATTTAAATGTCACATTTCTTGTTGAATCTAGTTTCTTTTCACCGCGGCTGAATGAAAATTATTTAGGTTATAAATCTGTTTCCATGGTAACATCTTTCCTCAACAGGTCTCTGTAGCTCTGTTAGCGAGTCGCACTTCGTCTCCGCTGCATGATTTAAAAAGAGAAGGACAAACTGCTAGAAGTGCTCACACATCGCTGTTATTGTAAGAAGGAATTTTCCAAATTATAAAAACTAAATTTGCAGGGATTGATTATATAATGTGCAACATGTGCAGTGAATTTCAGGCCCAGTTATGACTCTGGACAGTTTAATCTCAGGATATCTTGTAAAGCAGATTACATTTTCTGTCCCCTCAACAAAAACTGAACACAACCAATTATGTTAAACTTCAAAATTGAGTAAAAATGTCCAAATTGTGCTCAAAGTGTCAAGATTTTGTGGCCTTTATTATTTTTCAACGTTATCTTAACTCTATTGGACATGAAGTTCACTGGAGCTTCACAGGTTGGCACTGAGTTCCAGTAAACCATGTTCACAATCTGCTTGTGTTTAGCAAACTCTGTATACTTACAGATAACATAATACCAGATAAGATGCATATCTGGATTGTTCAGAAGTCCTTGATATCTGCGATCTTTAATACAAAGAATCAAATTAACTTTCCATGATCAAAAAAAGTCACATTCATACATTCTGATGCTGCTGTTATTACAATATTGTGTGTTCTGCCTTTTTCCAGGTATCTGTAGCGGCAATGGCTGAGACAAAAAGTCCTCAACCAATCAAAGAAGAGCATGTTGAGCTGTGGATCGTTCAGGATGGAGGGCGGCTCGTAGTGAAGCAGGAGGCCAGCGCCGCTCTGGAGAGCCCTGCGTGTGAAATACTCCACCAGGGACCAGAGCAGGTTCTACAGATTAAAGAGGAACCAGAATCTGTTCAGATTAAAGAGGAACCAGAATCTGTTCAGATTAAAGAGGAACCAGAATCTGTTCAGATTAAAGAGGAACCAGAATCTGTTCAGATTAAAGAAGAGCAGGTGGATCTCTATGGTGATCGGGTTAAAGGTCAACTGGAGCCTGAAACCTTCGTTGTGACTCAAACTACAGAGCAAAAAGACGACTGTGAACCAAACCAGAACCAGATTCTCTCTGCAAACCATCCTGAAGCTCAGAACCAGCATCAGCATGGAAGAACCCAGGAAGCTGTAGATCTGGAACCGGCGGACAGCAGAAGCCACTGGGACAATATGGACGATTCACCACTGAGACTTGAAACAGGTGAAACGACTTCCTCCTGTGACAGTGATGATGATGAATTTTTTCTGTCTTGCACTGAAGAAATCCAGTGCAAGGCTGAGTTTTTGGCTCTTCACATGGGCAGGAAGCCTTTGTCATGTCCAAAGCGTGGAAAATGTTCAGCTCGCTCTTCCAGAAAAAACAATCGCAGGAAAAGGCGCCGCGGCGATAAACGCTATTCTTGCGAAGTGTGTCATAAATTCTTCACTCTGAAATCCAGCTTAGTTTGCCACCTTCGAATTCACACAGGTGAAAAGCCTTTCTCTTGTAAACTGTGTGATAAATCTTTCAATCAGCGAGGAACCCTGACTATTCACCTGAGAACTCACACAGGTGAGAAACCTTACTCATGTGTAACTTGTGGCAAACGTTTCATCACAAATTCTTCATTAACTGCTCATTGGAGAACTCACACAAAACTGAAGTTGTATTTTTGTAAATTATGTGATAAATCTTTTAAACGTCGTGGAAACCTGGCTATTCACCTTAAAACTCACAAGCAGGACGCTTGTTAAATTGATGAATCTGTTCGTCACCCCAGGGACTTCAGACACACCAGCTGAGTTGGTGGAACATCATATAAAGTTGTAATTTGACTCTTAGAAGTGAGATAAGATCCAGTCTTATCTATAAACTGTGTAATAAATCTTTTGAATGCATGCGTTTTACAGCAATGGGTTTAGTTTGGCTAGTAATAAGTTCCAGACACAAACAAAGTTGGTAGCTTTGATCAAAATGACCAAGTTAGGGCAACACCTGATTTTCAGGATTGTCAAATGTTCTTTGCTGAATGGCTGCCCTGATGATGGGGGTGTAGAACAATTCATGGAGTTGTTGGACTTCCGTTTTACTAAGATGGGGGGTTCAGCCTCTAACAGACACACAGGAACTGTTCCCATCTTCTTCTTTGGATGGAGAAAACACCTTCGCAGGGGGGTCAGGGGTCGCCGCAGGGAGGTCAGGGGTCGCCGCAGGGAGGTCAGGGGTCGCCGCAGGCGGTCAGGGGTCACCGCAGGCAGTCAGGGGTCGCCGCAGGGAGGTCAGGGGTCGCCGCAGGCGGTCAGGGGTCGCCGCAGGCGGTCAGGGGTCGCCGCAGGGAGGTCAGGGGTCGCCGCAGGGGGCCACGCTGATCTGTGATGCTATTTAGCTGCACTGTGTTTCTGCTGATCTCTTTTCTTCTGTTTTCTTGTTTTAAGTCATTTTTTCAGTTCTCCATTTCATTTACCTTAGTCTGTTCATTAATCTCATTTCCCAACTTTAGCATTAAATGTGTGTATAATTTTCTTTTGTCTTTTCCATCAGTAGCTAGATTGCATGTCGGTAGTTAGAGATTATTTACAGATAATTCAGCTGTAAAGTTACTAAGTGAAGCTATTTTGTGAATAAATTCTCAGACTTCATTGGAAATAAGTGTCAGTGATGATTCTTCATATGAAGTTTCTTCTGCTTGTAGTTTTGAATTTATTACTTCACTGATAAGTGAAATACTGATAAGTTCTTCATGATGGCTCAGATTTAACTAAAGAATTCTAATTTAATAATTTCATAAATATTTCATCAAAAAATGTTAATAAGCCAAACATGGATCCAAATTGGTAAAAATATAAAAGTAAGAAACAATAAGAGTACATTTACAACATAGTAAATAGAACACTGGACAGTTATTAATAGCAGCATACTCGGATTAAAATAATCCCGAGCAGGGATCTACCGTACTGGAATCTGCTGTTCTAGAACAGCAGGGATGTAAACGCCGAGTTTGTTGGGAGCAGTGATGGTTAGAGACTTAACAGCTGCTGGGAGGAAGGATCTGTGATGACGCTCTTTTGTGCACCAAGGATAAAGCAGTCTGTTACTGAAGGTGCTTTCCATGAATGATTATATTTCTGATGGGAGAAACAGACACCATCTTCACTGCATGTGATGGGGCCCAGACCTGTAACCCAACTGGCTCTTAATGGGATTAGAAATGTTGTTTTATATAATAATCTCAAAGACTGCAAAAGACAAACCGGAGAAATTAACTATTGAAATGTTTGTCAAAGTTTTTGCTATTTTTTTTAGGTAAAACAAAAAAAATGTTATGACTTTTTTCCATGTAAAGCAGATGGCTGAAGCTACCTGAAAAATTAGATTTATTGTTGCTTTTTCAAAGGAAGCTTCCTCCCTTTACCACTAGGTGGCGGCACAGCGCCTTTAAGATGGTTTACTCGCTAAAACCTCTCATTTGATACTTCCGGCAGAAGTAACTATAGCATTAGCAGATTTGGATGCCACCTTTTTTATCACATGAGGTAAATATTTTAGTGTCAGCAGTATCAATATATTTGTCATCATCTTATAGGAGAAAAAGATGGATTACCAGCGCAGACTGCTGGAAAACCCAAATAAACCCAGAACCTCCAGCAGGTAGGTTAACTCGGACTGAAGTTGGTGTCTGATTCGGCTCTGTATTAAAGGGTCATTCCGCTTCATTTAACAGAAAGAAAACATTTGATCTGTTCTTGTTTAAGATATAAAATACATAGAATTCTGAAAGCCCGACTGGATTATTTTTCCTTTTTTGAGCATCAGACTGCCTACAAACTACATCAGCTACAATCTAGATAGAATTGTTCTACACTAAAGATTATTAAAATTAGTTTTGGATTTCATTCTGTCCTGTAAAAACAGGAAACTTGTCTCTACATCTGGGCTTTTCTCTCCATTTCCATCCTTTTTATCAATCATATTTCTCATCTCCATTTATTTATTTAATTTGGAATAAAAAATAATGCAACCAAAATAAGTTGGTAGTTATTTCATAATCAATTTTCACGTCAGATTAAAAAAAATACAAATACGTTTGTTTTTTTTTGGGGGGGGGGGGCTGCATTTTTGACTTTAAGCTCACATCAGATTTTGGGTATTTGTTTTGTAACATCTACCAATCATTTTGTGCTTTGGGTTGTTCATCACTCACAATTATTCCTGTGAATTTGGAGATATTTGGTCCTTATTTGCCAAAGTTACATCGGGGAATCCTAATATTTCAGCTATTTATCACAAAACCTGTTAAGACTGTTGGATTGTAAAATAATTAAAAGTATTTCTGAATTATTGCTCTAGATTTAAGGATGAATGAAAATGTCTTCCACTTCCTGGTTAGCATGTCTCCTCTGACCCGCCTTTCCTCTTCTGCGGTCTGCTTAAGGTCAGCGGTCAATCAACATCTAAACATCAGTTGACTTCAGGTTGTTGCTTCCATCCAGCAGGTCTGACAGATAATTTACAGCTTTGTCTGTCTGTCACCACAAAAATAATCAGAACCCAAATTAACTCAAGTTCAGTGTCACTTCTCCAAAACCTGAGATTTTCCTGAAGGAAATTAATGTATAAAGATTCACTAAAGACTGAAACGTCCAAGCATCTTTTTGGTTCAAAGGTAAATTTGTCTTTTTATGTTGTATGTAAACTTATGGTTTTCTGCTATAATACAAAATGAATATATGATGGAGCTCCATGCAAACATTCCTACTTCATTACCCAGAATTCTCTGATACCTAAAACCTTTAATACAAAGAAATGTACATCATTTCCCACAGTCATTTAAAAAAGCCATTTTCATACACTCTGATGCATCTGTTATTGAAATATTGTGTTCTGTTTTTCCAGGTGTCCATAGTGGAAATGACTGAGACAAAATGCTCTCAACCAATCAAAGACGACCAGGTTGAGCTGTGGGCCTCAGGATGAAAAGAAGGAGACCAAGGCCTCTCTGGAGGATCCTGCAGGTGAAATATTCCACAAATTACAAGAACCAGAGCAGATTATAGAGGTAAAGGAAGAACCAGAACTTCAACAGATGAAAAAGAACCAGAACCTGTACAGATAAAAGAGGAAAATATAAAAAAAAAACACACAACAGTAGCATATTTTTATTTTACAAACTATGCTAAATGTTTAGCTTGATATAACTGACTGGAGAAACTTTGAAAACTTTCTAGATTATTCCTTCGTCCCACCGCGGGTCGGTGCAGTTCTTTATCCTATTTTCCATCCATTATCATTCACCCTTATCCCCGGTGGGTTTGCCAGGAGCACTGGTTCCCATCTCCAGCAGTCAACAGGTGGGGTCACCTGGACAGGTCACCAGTCCATCGCAGGGACAGACAGTCATGTGTAACTAAGGAGAATTTAGAGACCAATTATCTGGTCAGTCATGTTTTTGGACGAGGAATCTGGAGCACTCAGAGAGAACCCACCATGCCAACTCCCTACAGAAAGACCCCAGGCCGGGAATCAAACCCAGGACCTTCTTGTTCCAAGGCAACTGTGCTGCCAACCGCACCACTGTGTGTCTGTTTCTGTTGTAAAAGCTCGACCCATTCCTGACGCCCCGAGTCCAACTGGTAGTGTAAATGCCTGAATACGCCAGACCTTGAAATCCCTAAACTTTAAGAACTCGTTATATTAAATGTAGCAAGCAAAGCAGCAGCAAGTTGAAGACAAGAGGGAGAAATTATTCCAGAAACCACAGCTGAGAGTTGTTGCTGCTTTGTGTGAATCTGTTCAGAGGTCAAATTCAGTTTTTCAATCACATGTTTTTTCCAGTCTGCTGTTGTTTTTGGCTAATAAATATCAACTTTATGTAGGTTTGTTCTGTTTTATAGGTCGCAGCAGTGACCTTTGTTTCAAGTCGTAAACATTACATTTTAATGTCTTTAAGGATTTTGTTTGACATAAAAACTATTTAATTTCGTTTTTGTCAACTTTATCTTATTTGTATAATTATTATTGGGAAGTTGTAAATAGCTGTATGTGTTTGTATCTGGAGGCGGAACCTAAAGGGTGGAAACTGTTTCTAGTGCAACTCTCCGTCTGGGACATTGGGCGGAAGTAAACAACAAGGTGCTAGCAGCGTTAGCTTCCAGGCTTCCGTCTGTCTACCGGCGGTTGGAAAACGGTTTTTGCTGTGTGAGCTGAATATTTCAGTGTCTGCAGTAACAATATCTTCGGTTCAGCATCAGAGAGAATCCATCATAGATCGACTAGCTGCTGCTGGTGGAGAAATATTCTGCCACGTCGTCCTTTAGGTGGAAGAGATCGATAATCAGTTCGGACTGCTGGATACCAGCTGGAAATCATCTCAGAACCTCCCGGTATGTTCACTGTGGTTCTGATTGATCTAACACTGGAATATGATCAGGGAACTAGTTGACGCCGCTGAAAATGCAGGACGTGTCCGTGTTGTTTACATCGATCAATGAACAGGAACAATAAAACCATTAGAAAACTGATTAGAACAAGGAAAATTTCAGCAGCTTGTAAAGCAGAAACCTCCTAATGAAATAAATATTTTTGACTTTATCCGGTGAGGAGGTGGTGTTTGACATACACAACAAATCCGTTTAAACACTTCCCTTCCCCTGTCCTCTTAAATCAGATGGATGTGTCTTTACCAGGCATCAGCAGAGGTGAATGGCTGAATGCTGAAGAGGAAGCTCAGGTGTGTGGGAGCAGGGAGGCATATAAAAGCTGCAGGAGGCTTTCTAAAAACAAGCAAACAAAAACCTGTTCTTCTATTTCCAACAGCTAAATCAGTACAAACTTCAAACATTGATTGTCTTGATGTGTGGTTGAAGTCTGAACTCAAATGCAGCAGGCAGGAGACGTAAATGTTGTGTTGTAGATTTAATGAAAAAAAAAAGAAGAATCAAACTTGCAAAAAAGAGACAAAGTCCAAGGAACAAAAATAAATCCAAACCAGAGACATGAGGAGGGAGAAGAGACGAGGAGATGTGGCGTGGAGTAACAAGACGAACCGGCGAGTAGTGACTGATTATAAGGAGCTTAAATCCTGGGAAGGTTGTGAGCTTGACAAAATACCAGG